AAAGCACTGGGGTTTAGGGACAGTGAGGGCAAAATAGACTTTAAGCGGGTAGAATTAACTAGAAGGGGGTTATCTGATTGGTGGCTAAAGTCAAGGCACGAGGGAAAGTTGAACCCTTCGCTGCAAAGTACGAATCCTCAACCTCACTATTTAAGGAAAAAAAAATAAATCTAGTTTTTGTTCCATTAAGTATTACGGCTTGGTGGCGCTAGCCACCGCCCGATCTAAAGGGTACTGCCATATCCATCCATTCATCCTGTAGTAAGGCATAGGTCGACAGCCTTGATGCTTGGGAACCCCTCTAATTTCAGCGGGGCCTGCGACCGCAGCTGTCGCTCGGCTCTTGTTGTTATTTCGTCGACTTCGGAAGCGCTTCGTCGTCCACCACAACCACGCGCTTCTCTTTTATTCGCGTCTACAGGCGCCAAGGCACGTCGCTGCGGTTAGACACGCGTTCGAACGTGGCTCCATTTTTAGCAGTACGTGCTTCGAGTATGTTTATTATATCGTCGGCCAACAGCGCTAATGTTTTTCAGCGGTCACACGTTTATACGACTTGCGTTTACGAGTCTTCTTGCTCTCTTATTTCGCTTTGCTTTCCACCGCAAATCCCCACTTCTTTCTTTTAAATAAGATGCATTTCTTAGTGAACTTCGGCGACGTTGAGCGTATCTATCTATCTATATATCGGCTTACGGCTTTTAGCTTACCTCGCCGTTTCGATAATTGGATCGATACCAGATTTGGTATGCCATAACATGACTGTATAACGAGCATAAGTGACTAGTAATAACATGAAAATCATGACATGTATGTCATGAATGTCATCATTTACATTTCATGGTCTTGCTGCTGTTGCGGTGGTTTCGTTCCCATGACATGTTGCGAAACTGGTATGGTATGACATGGGTGCATGGCGAAAACAAGCGACAGACCCTAACATGAAAATCATGACATGCGTGTGATGTAACATGACTACATGCCATGCTCATGATGCACTCGCGGCCGTTTCGCTAGCTTCACCTATACCAAATTTGGTACTATGGGACGTAAATGGATGACGAAGGTATCTTACTGGTGGAAACATGATAATCATGTAATGCGTGCCATGTAATACCATGACTACATGCCCCGTTTATGATGCGCTGGCGGCCGTTTCACTATAGCTTCACATATATTAAGTTTTGTATTACGGGACGTGAATGGATGGCGAAGGTATGTGACAGGTGTAAACATGATAATCATGAGATGCGTGTCATGTAAGAACAAGACTACATGCCACACTCAAGACGCCACTACACTTCGACGTGACCCGGCGCGCGTGCGCACCGGCGCTCGTTTCGTCACGTCACGCCGGCGACGCCACGCTAGGCGCCGAACTGCCTGCCATACACTCGCAGGCACGCGACGCGCTGCGTTGCATGTTGCATTTCGCGCCGACGGACGCTGGTTGCGCCGGTAACGCCTGGTGTCAGATGCGTCAGCTCGCGCTTTGCTAGCGTAGCGTCGCTGCGCCCGGCGTGCGCGCGCGTCAACGTTACGTCAGAGTATATTGGGCCCCTAATAATGCGCTCGCGGCCATTTCGCTAGCTCCACATATACCAAATTTGATGTTACGAGACGTGAACGAATGAAGAAGGCATATGACTGGTGCAAGCCTGATAATCATGACACACGTGCCATGAAAGAACATGACAACATACCACGCTCGTGACGCGCTCACGACCGTTTCGCTAGCTCCACATGTACCAAATTTGGTGTTACGTGACGTCAATAGACGGCGAATGTAAGTGACAGGTCCAAACATGATATTCATGATATGCGTGTCATGTAAAACATGACTAAATGCTAGGATCATAGCGTGCTCATGGCCCTTTCGCTAGCTCGACATATACCAAATTTGGTATCGGGTGATGTGTATGGATGATGAAGGTAAATGACACGTCCAAATGTGATAATTAGGGCATGGAAGTCGTGTGCGGCATAATTCACCTCCGCCTTGTAACGTTCTACTGATTTTAAAGTGACATATCAAGCTTCATGATTCGTGCTTTGCATATCATTGATTCCCACTTTACGTGGGATCTTCCAATTTTTTTTTTCTGATACGATCTCGCCAGTAAGCATGACTAGATAAAGGAGATTAGAAAAGAAAGACACGTGTCCTTTGCATGTTCTTGAAAAAACAGATTTTCTTGGTTTTCGCGCTTTTGAAGAAGGTGGCAAATGCTTCCGCAACGCCGAGATCTCAGAAATTCGTTATTTTGTTTTGCTTTCTTTTTCTAGAGTTCCTCGTCTTAACTGAATGCAGTGACCTGATCAGTTTCATAATAAGAGAACTTCAAATAAAATTGAGTGAACATATGGATGAAACTATGAATGATCGCCGTTCAATGGCTCGAGAAAACCACGCGCAGCCGTCGAGTTAGAGAGTAAATTCAGCATGCAGTGAGCTGGTACGAATATTGCATGCCTGATGTTTATGATCGTCTACTGCTATTTGAAAGCGCTATCGGATATGTCGTATCGAACCTGACAAACAGAAAGGAACACTTCTTCAATATGCACCGGTCAGGTATTTGATCGCATATTTACCTTGTGGCGCTTTAGTAGCAAAACATCTGTTGAAAGCCAACAGTTAGTGGGGCGGTACAACCGGTTCATAGCTATAAACTTGGGACTCTCCTTGAGCAGACGCTCGACGTGTTCCAGGATTCCCACATCATCTTCTGAGATCGGAACACGCGACACCCCTATTCGTTTGTTTGTTTTCCTGCGAATCTGGTTAAACACATTACTGAGGTAGGAGGCCCACCAAAACCAAGTCATTCAAGCAGTGAAAATCCGCAGGCAGCGTAGTTTCCCTTTCCTTTTCATGTAGAGTTACTATCGTAGCGCAAGACATGCAGCTAGGTAATCCTGAAGAAGCCGGATTAGCCTACAAAGTTATATTTAGCCTCTAAAGCGTATAGTAGATGGCGCGCACGTTTAGCATGTCGGCAACGCGGTGTCTAACGGCCCCATTACTTCTGCGGTCTTTCCCTTAAACAGAACGAAATATATTTTGCTTGTGACTATGTGGCTCGCCAAGAGGTGGAAGTTTGACGACGCAAGAGTAGACTCTGGTGAGCAGAAACCCGGCAGTTGCGGAAAAAAGGCACGCTTCGGCGTATGCAAAATGCGTGATTGGCGTCGTCTACGAAACACCGCTGAATCGTGGGAAATCTTAGAAAGGCCGAACCAGGCGCTGCATCAACGATCGTGCAAAAGAACATGAGCTTTCAATTAGAAATAACGAGAACGCACATTTGCCTGCGCATTGCCAAGCGTGCACATGTTTACCAATTTTCGGGAAGATTAAGATAAGAGCATTCATACCCACGAAATGATAGGGGCCTTTCACATATGTGTAAGAGACAATGCTTGAGTGAACGACATGTCTGTGTATTTTATAGAAAGCATGACTTTTTGCGTGCCTGTTTGGTCGTGATTACGTTTTGTTTTGAGTTAACTGGCGGAACATGGAAGAGGCCTTTGTCCTGCAGTGTATGCAGTTAGGCTGATGGTGATGATGAATGACGTTTTGGCTTGCACGTGTCTCTTTTATGAGTGTATATTGAAGGACGACGAAAAATAAATATTAGTTGAAAATTTGCGCCTGTCCCTGTTCGTTGTTTCTGTGTCCCTCTCTTTATTTGCGCGCGACGGTTTATCTGGTCCGCATCGGAGGACAGGCGGGAGTTTGCACGGCTGTGACTATGAAAGCGGACTGCATGGTGTTGCGATCGGCGAGCCTGCCTTTGCCGTGGGTGCCGAGACGGAAGAAAGGCAGCCGCCGATAAGGAGGAACGCGAAGACTCCCGGCCGTTTTTCATGTATTTGGAGGTGCGTGGTTGTAATTACTCCACGCAGCACTGATGTCGCTTGTGCCGGCGCGGAAATGCGACACATGGCACCTTTGTACACCGAGGCCGCGACGCCGAGTTTCCGCCGAAGATGGACCTCGGACCACCACGCTGTGTGTCTCTGGCTGAGAGGTCACCGACGCTCAAATGACCAAGCACGTGTCATTGGAGTTGCCTGGCCTTCGAGCACCATTCGACAGCGTCGGTGGTTGGCCCGAGCAGCGACACGACGGATTCGTTACATCCCGTTTGCTGGTAGCATGATTCCCCAGATGCGACAGTTTGTGTGCGTGTGTGTGTGTGTGTGTGTGTGTGTGTGTGTGTGTGTGTGTGTGTGTGTGTGTGCGCGCGCGCGCGCGTGTGTGTGTGTGTGTGTGTGTGTGTGTGTGTGTGTGTGTGTGTGTGTGTGTGTGTGTGTGTGTGTGTGTGTGTGTGTGTGTGTGTGTGTGTGTGTGTGTGTGTGTGTGTGTGTGTGTGTGTGTGTGTGTAAATAGGCGACCTGGTTCTGTATGGTCCATTGCAGAGTTCTCACCGACAGGTGCCCAGTGCACTGCCGCCCCATGCTTTCATTCACGTACTGATAAGGACATTTCATGTGAAAGTCACTTCGTTGTTGTGGTTCGAGTTACGCGATAAATGCATTAAATACGATGTGCATGCCCCACTGCCTGTATATGAACACTCACTGAAATATACCTTGTATGGAATCATTACTGACACTCTTACGATACTTCGGTGCAATTCTGATACGAGCTCTTTCAACTGCTTTGTTTTTTTATGCCGCAATTGCCACATAGCTGGGTCCTCTGCATTTAGTGTCTGCCTATACGCGGTAGCTGGGGATGGTTGCGCGATGGCTTTCAGTTCGTGGTCTATGTCTGTGTGTATATGTTTTGTCTATATATGTGTCTTTGTCTAGACTACGTCGGTGTCTGTATCGTCTATGTATTATGTAGTGTATCTATAAACTTTCAGCGCTAATGCTTACACATCCATCTTTATGCATTCATTTTTTTTTCTTTTTCTATGCTGTGTCGGTGTCTATGCTTGTGTCGGTGTCGTGCATTTCTTACGTAGAATGTCTATAGACGTTAAGCGCTTACGCCTATGTCCATCTTTATGCATGGCTTTCGATGCCCGCTGTCATTTGGAATGCAGAAGCACGCATTTGGAATGCGGAAGCGCACTAGTTTGATCCCGCGGAGCCTCCATCTCTGTGTTGTCCCTCGGTGACGTTGAAGAGCAGCGGGTAGATGAGCTGGTTGCCGCTGTCGGTCGTGTAAAGTGACGCGTCGCCCGGGTTGTACGTGAGGAAGGTAGTGTTACCGAACGGGTTGCTGTAGTTCAGCCGAGGCACGTCCGTCAGAAGCGCGTCCGAGTAGAGGTCGTAGGCGAGGCCGACCTCAGTGCTGTGCTCGCTTAGGCTGTTCACAGCGTACAACACACCACACACGACGAATAGGTGCGCCACCTGCCGGTGATCGACGGTCAGGTTCCAAATGTACTCCGGCCTCAGGCTCTCCTCGTGCACCTGCGATGACGTGTAAGAGAGGCAATGGAAAGATCGCTGGTGTTAATTTCGGCATTAAACTCGAGAATTCAGATTGAGGAAGCGCTAGGGCACAATAAGACCGCCAATAGGGACGCATCTAATCAAAGAACAGTTAACCAGATGAACTTGTTCGAGTAACCCAAATAGCCTCATTAAAAAGCGTCGAAACTTGGGCGAGTTGGTAGGACATAACTGAATGCAGGAACAGCGCAACCTAGAAGTAGTTACTTCGTAACTACGGAAGCGACAAAAACAAGGACAGAAAAGAGCGCTGAAACGCTGAACAGCGCTCTTTTCTGTCCTTGTTTTTTTCGCTTCCGTAGTTGCGAAGTAACTACTTCTAGGTTGCGCTGTTCCTGCATTCAGTTATAGCCTCATTAACATAGGAAACGAAGACATTCAGCAATGAATAAGGTGGGCGCAAGAAATATGCCAATAATGAAACCTCAAGCTCAAGATGGGCATCGGCAAAGCAAATGTACGAGCGGGATCTCCTGTGGGAGATGTCTATGGTGGTGAGTAAACACATAGCTTTATTGTGAGTCGCAACCATCCCCAAAGGACACTGCTTTCAGGCTGCGTCGCTTGATGCCTTCTCCGATCTCTCCAAATGATTTAGTTAGCGTATCGAACGGTCCCCTCAGAAAGTGCATCACGCAACCACCTGCACGCGAGTTCGTCATCGAACTTTTCCGACGTCCAAATTTTGCTGATACGTTCAATCCTTTCTGTTGGCTTTACGCCTTGTCCTTGAGAATGCTATTGTTTTTTTTTTGCCAGAAAAATTTAGCAAAGCCTTCAAAAGAAGTCTCCTTTTGCTATTGTTTTTACTTCGAGTACAGAAAGTACAATAAGTTCGTGTAAAATAATAATCACACGGTACAAGCGTGTTTGTGTAGCCAAGTAGTAAAGACACTCGCCTTTGAAGTGTGGGGCCAAGCGAACAACATTTATTTCGTTCTGTTAGTTCATTTCTTTATGGTCATGATCGTTTTATGTAACAAAAGGACGGACGGGTAGTTCTATCGCTGAATCAGCATACAAATACCCGTGGAGCTTAAACAAAGGAAATGTATATTTGTGCCTCCGCCATCTTGCGCTGCCCTACAATAAGGCGAACGAAGTCCACTGCTCCGGTGGACAATCAGGAAGTTCACCCCATTTCGCAAAATATGCAGGAGTGACGGGACGTTGTTTTTGGCTCGTGGATACGAGTAAATTTTCTTAAGATCATGACGCAACTTCACTAAACGCGACAATATCGAGGGAAGGGCTTCGGTATATACCTTGAGTATCATTGTGTTGTTGGACCTGCGGCTGGAATAGCTCAGCCACAGGCCGTTCTCATCGGCCAAGATGTTCACGTAGTTCCTCTGCGCCGCATACAGGTAGCTGCCGTTGCGGTACACGGCGTCGTCCAGCTTCAGGCGAGCGGTCACTCTGAAAGAATTTGATGCGCGCTATACGTGAATGAGACAAAGAGAGCAGAAAGGTAGGTCTTAAAATTAAACTGCAGAAAACAAAAGTAATGTACAACAATTTCGAAAGAAAACAGTGCTTCGAGATAGGTAACAGTGCACTTGAAGTTGTAAAATAGTACATCTACTATAGGACAGGTAGTAACCGTGGAGCCGTACCACGATATTGAAGTAACTAGAAGAATAAGAATGGGGTGGAGCGCATTCGGCAAGCATTCTCAAATCATGACTGGTAGATTACCACTAACCATCACGAGGAAAGTACATAAATGCTAAAACTTACAGGTGGAGTGGAAACCTGGTTGCTTACAAAAATGGTTCAGCTTAAACTGAGGACGACGCAGCGAGCAATGGAAAGATAAATGATTGGTGCAACCCTAAGGGACAAGAAAAGACTAAAGTGCATCAGAGAACAAACTGGTGTTAAAGACATCATAATGGAAACCTGGAGACTTACAAAGAAAGTTCAGCTTAAATTGAGGACGACGCAGTGAGCGATAACAAGGAAAATGATAGGTGTAACCTTAAGAGACGAGAATCTCTAAGTGGTTATAAGAGAGAAAGGAAGAGAAAAGTGAGCCCCATAACTGTCTGCTTCAGCGAGCGACGCCTCAACAGTAGCTCACATGATTGATTTGTGGGGTTTAACGTCCCAAAACCACCATATGGTTATGAGAGGCGCCGTAGTGGAGGGCTCCGGAAATTTTGACCACCTGGGGTTTTTTAACGTGCACCCAAATCTGAGTACACGGGCCTACACCATTTCCGCCTCCATCAGAAATGCAGCCGCCACAGCAGGGATTTAATCCCGCGACCTGCTGGTCAGCAGCCGAGTACCTTAGCCACTAGTCCACCGTGGCGGGGCAACAGTAGCTCACAAGGGATGGGGGTGAGGAGGGATTAAAAGGACAGGAATAAAGGTGTAGAGAGACAGAACAAGTATGCCAGAGAGCGACGACATATCGAGGGGATAGGAGAGATAGGAAAGATGTAAACACGGTCACAGGAGTCCGAGGACGGGGCACCACTTGCGAGAGCTCTTGTCGGCATCGGGAGATGGCGTAGAGCAAGTCCAGTCGGTCAGAGCTATACTGTCATCGGAGGTCGGTGCCAGGAGATGACGTAGGGCGAGCCCAGTCCGCCAGAGCTACGCTCACGTCGGAGATCGCGAGGGCACAACGAGTCGGCACGGAATCCAGCGACCGAGTTCGAGACAGAGTGGGTCAGGGAACAAACCGGGGTTAGGTATATCACAGTTGAAATCAACCAGAAGAGATGGACATGGGCCGAGTACGTAGCACGTAGGCAGGATAACCGCTGGTCATTATGGGTATCTGACTGGATTCCCAGAGAAGGCAAACGCACGAAGGGGAGACAGAAAGTATGGTGGGCCAATCAGATTAAAACGTTCACAGGTATAACTTGGCAACAAAAAGCACAAGGCCGGGTTCATTGGAGAGGCCTTTGCCCTGCAATTGTCGTAGTCAGGCTGATGATGGTTATGATGAGGATGACGATCAGTCGAAATCAAGAAGAAGAAATTGTCTTGAACGGGGCACGTAGTGCGAAGGCAAGATAACCACTGATAGTCCAGGATCACAAGCTGGATTCCAAGAGAAGGTAATCAGGTGAGCTGTAGACAGAAAGCTAGGTGGACAGATGAGATTAGGAAGTTTGCGGGTACTAAAAGTGGCAGCAGCAAGCACAGGACCGAGTTGACTGATGGAACACGGGAGAGTCCTTTGTCCTGCAGTGAGCGTAGTCATGATGATGATGGTGATGATAATGATGGTGATGATGATGACGATAATGATGATGATGATGATGATGATGTGGGCATGGTATCTCTAAATGAATACATCCCCAGCTTTCAAAGATACTGTCGCTGCACCGAGATTAGTCTTTAAAGGTCAAGATAAGATAAGCAGCATTATAAATGTAACGCGTGCTGATATTGCAGAGAAAGTGACTGCAAGGCCTGTCCGCGGCTTGAATCTTGAAGGTGTCTCAGTAGGCGCGAAAGATTTTTCCACGGCCTCGAAAACTGAAAGCAGATATATTTAACAGCGTGTAAGTGCGCACTGTATATAACGTAAGCACTAAATATTGCTTCGACTGCATAAGTTTACAGTGAAGGAACAGACAAAAGTCTTGCAGGAAACAAAGCTTCCTTAATCTCTTGTTAACGTTGTTGTTGTTGTTGTTGTTGTTGTTGTTGTTGTTGTTGTTGTTGTTGTTGTTGTTGTTGTTGTTGTTGTTGTTGTTGTTGTTGTTGTTGTTGTTGTTGTTGTTGTTGTTGTTGTTGTTGTTGTTGTTGTTGTTGTTGTCAGCGCACTCATCGGCTTGAGCAAGTGTTCTTTAGTCGAAGCACAGGCACGGCCGATCGATAAAAACTATCCAGCGGCCGTTGAACAGGCCAGAGGCATGGACGGACTGACGGATACATGGACGGACGAACAGAAGCACAGCATGAACGCATGAACGGATGGGCGAACGGACGGATGTACGGACAGATGCTTCGCCGTAGTGGTCGTGTCGATGCGTCCCTATAGCATTATAGAATGTCCGCTATATCATGAGCAACGCGTATAACTGGGTGATCGATCTAACCACCTCGACAGACGACCACTTACAATTGGCGAAGTGCTTGGACCATGGCCACATGCTGACAATCAAAGGCGCGCAGCCCTTCCTCAATTTCGACGCGAGAGCGTTGAAGAGCTCGTTTCGCAGAAATTCTGGCGTCGGTGTTGTTGGTTGTGAGTGATAAATTATCATATTGTACGTGACCGAAAGATTGAGAACGGTCAAATAAAATAAATAAATGATATAAATCCTGGAGCAGAGTGGGCACCAAGCTAGGGTTGTTCGGGTTCAAGTGGGGATCTAACCCTAATCGTTTGTCGAGCGGATGTTCTACCACACGGCCATGCACCCCCCCCCCCACCCCCCACTTTGTTTTTTGCTTTTTTACCTGTTTCCAGACACTATGTACCATCGCGTCCGAAATTTTGCGGCCCACGGAAGCACGTGTCAAACAACACCGCTGTGCCTTCTGATGGCTGCCTGCGAAGCTCAAAAGCGCGCAGTGCGCACCCCTTTTTTACTACCAGCCAGCTCGTTCACTCACTTCAACAGCGCACGCACTGGAACGCCTGAAGAAGCGCGAGGTGTCACTCCTGCTGCCGCAGCGGAAACACCGAGTGATGATATCGTGACGAAAATATTTGTAATGGCAGTGCTCGGGGCGCACCGCATTCTGTGCCCCACGCTCCGATCTGTCCAAAACGTAGGTAAGGTGTCAGTTTTTAAATGCGAAGCATTTCTTAACGAACTTCGGTGATATTGAGCGTATCTATCTATCTATCTATCTATCTATCTATCTATCTATCTATCTATCTATCTATCTAGCCGCCTACGACTGTTAGATCCTTTGGCTCTTTCGTTTATGATATTGATACCAAATTTGGTATGGCATAACATGACTGTATTGATTGACTGGTAGGTGGGGTTTAGCGTCTCAAAACCACCACATGGTTATGAGAGACGCCGTAGTGGAGGGCTCCGGAAATTTTGACCCCCTGCGGTTCTTTAACATGCGCCCGAATCTAAGCACACGGGCCTACAGCATTTCCGCCTCCATCGGAAATGCAGCCGCCACAGCCGGGATTCGATCCCGCGACCTTCGAGTCAGCAGCCGAGTGCGTTATCCACTAAACCACCGCAGCGGGGCAACATGACTGTAGGACGAGCATAATTATATAGTCATGACATCACTATCGTGACATGTATGTCATGCATGTCATGCTATACAATTCATGGTCTTGCTGCTCTTGCGGTGGTTGCGTTCACATGACATGTTGCAAAACTGGTATGGTATGACATGACTGCATGGAGAACACAAGTGACAGACCCTAACGTGGAAATCATGACATGCATCTTATGTAAATCATGAGTCATGACTGCACGCCACGCTCATGGTGCGCTCGTGGTCGTTTCGCTGGCTTCACATATACCAAATTTAGTATTACGGTATTACATTTCGTATTACGGTATTACATAACAAATGTATGTGACTGGTGCAAGCATGCTAGTCATGAGATGCGTGTTATCTAAGAACATGACTACATGTCACACTCATGATGTGCTCGCGGCCGTTTCGCTAGCTTCCCATATGCAAAATTCGGTATTACGGGACGTGAATGGATGACAAAGGTATGTGACTGGTGCAACCGTGATAATCATAAGGTGCGTGTCATGTAACAACACGACTACATGCCACGCTCATGATGCGCTCGTGGCCGTCTCGCTAGCTTCGCATATCCCAAATTTGGTATTACGGGACGCGAACGGACGACACAGGTAAATGACACGTCCAAACATGATAATCATTACATGCGTGTGATGTAAGAACATGGCAGCATACCACGCTCATGATGCGCTCGTGGTTGTTTCGCTAGCCTCACATATACTGAATTGGATATCGTGTGATCCGAACGGATGACAAAGGTAAACGACACGTGCGAACATGATAATCAGGACATGCATGCCATGTAAAACATGACCACTTGCTACGCTCATAGCGCGCTTGTGGTCGTTTCGCTAGCTCCACATATACCAAATTTGCTATTACGTGACGTGAATAAACGATGAAGGTAAATGATACGTCTAAACATGATAATCATGATATGTGTGTCATGTGAAACATCGCTACATGCTACGCTCATAGTGTTCTCGCGGCCATTTTGCTAGCTCCACATATACAAAATTTGGTATTACGTGACATGAATAGACGACGAAGGTAAATGACATGTCCAAACATGATAATCATGACAAGAAAGTCATGAACGACATATTTTGCGTCCGCCTCGTAACTTTGTGCTGATTTTAGAGTGACCTGTCAGTCTTCCTCATTCGTGCTTCGCATATCATCGATTCCCACTGTACGTGGGATCTGCCAACTTTTTTGAAAATCGGCCTTTGTGATAAGGTTCACGCGCTGACAGCTGGAGTGCCACCTGGCGCTTCTTCATGTGTTTCGCTGCCCATGCTGTTGAAGAGACCGAACGAGCAGGCTGGTAGTAAAAAAGGGTGCACGTGCGCAGTGCGCGCTTTTGAGCAGTGCTGTTTGACATGCGCTCGCGTGGTCCGCAAAATTTTGAACGCAACGGTACATCTGCTTGCAAAAAAAGTGAAAAGAACTTCCTCTGCTTGAAAATGCAGTGAGAGTAGCTTTCATGCTCCACAAACACACACATATACATGCTTCACAATGCGACCTGAAATATTGCAATAATAAAGCGTGGTACAGGCGTCCGTTGCTAACGGCCGGGCGTCAGAATATGTGATAATTTGTGATTATCATAATGGCTCCGTGGTTCAATGCCGGTACCCCACTACAAAAGGCTACTGCGCCTCTTGCCTTAAGGCCACGTAGTGGGAGCATAGCAAATTCGAAAAGGCTTCATGCACTAGAAACAGGATTTCGCTATCGCATTCAACTTCTAAAGCTTTAGGGTCCCCTAGTTGGGCACATATAAGTGAACTGAATTTAGTTCTTATTGTTCCTTGCCATTATCTGTACGAACCTTATCAGCGATGTGATCCCGCTGTATGAACTGGACCGTGCCTAGCACAAGCGTCTTCAACGCGCCCGCCACTCTGCTTCGTCCATGCCCGTGCACCAACGATCCACCACGTACGGCGACTATCCAGGAGACTGAGAGAGGCACTCGTTATCCACGTACCCAGGCACAGCCCGCACAGTAGCCAATCGGAGAGTAGCTGTACAGCACCGTCTATGTTATCCTCACTCAATGCAGTTTGTATGTACTTCTATGAGACAGTACCGTCTATTATACTGTTCGGGAAATGCTGCCTTTTTTTTTTTCTCGTCTCTTCTCTCGGTTACGCGTGACGCATGACAAGTTTAGACTAAGAGTAGCTTCGCCCCTAAAAGTAAAGGAAGGGAGGCCAACCAGAAGCACGTCTGTTTTACTATCTTGCACGACGGGACGAAGGATGAAAAGAAGTGCAACCGGGAATGAAGCCACCGCGGCGGGGATTCAATACCACAACCTTCGAATCAGCAGTTGAATGCCACAAGTTAGACCATCATGGCGGCTAGCAGATACTGAACAGCAGAATGTGCTTATCCACTATCTAACAAAGAAACTTCATTCTCCAGTAAAGAAATGACAGACACGTTGTTCACGAGTTGCTCCGTTCATGTGTCTGTGTTTGTGTTTGTTCTCCCAGTAAACTTCAGTTGAAAGCTATGTCATGTGTCGTTTTCTTCGTCCGCGTCAGTGGTGCTGTGGATAAGGGCGTAGCCAGGGAGTGGCACACCGTGCCCACTCCACCCCCCCCCCTGAATTTTTTTTCGCCGTGGCACAGACAGCTAAAAATGGCCATTGCAAGAGGTTGCCCTTCCCGGTAATCAAGGAGGTGTCCACCCCCTTATACCCTAAAAACTTTCTGACTATCTCTTTGGCTGTGAGCTGTGCTGAGTTTATATCAACCAGCCTGGTACTCCATTCTGCGTGACCTTCGGTTCCTTTGTAAGTTAGTATACGCACTTGAGCGGATCTCCGCTGCCTCGGGCGGCCAGGGGAACTCGTACCACGTAGTTGGTGTCGTTCTGGTGGTAGTAGAGCGAGCCGTTGTACAGCAGCTGTCCGTTGCCGTGGAAAGGAACCGGCAGCCTCAGAGTACGGTGACCGGTGCCCGACTGGAAGGCCGTCTTGGAGGGAAACTCGAGGAGCGACATGCTATCCTGCTCGTTGGCCACGTAGATGGTGTTTGGCTCGAACGGGGTGCTTTCCCGCATCCAGTTGCTGACGTGGCCGCCGGGCTTCCGGTTCAGCACTGGCTTGCCGATGCGCTCGATCACGCGACGAGTCACCAGGCACTCTGTCAATCACGAAAACGACGCTGATGTAAAACAACGAATCGGTTTAGAATGACAAATGGTACTCTGACAACTCTCATGTCGTCAATTGTTGTTAGAAGATATAATCAAGGTGAAAGCTACGTGTGTAAAGTTTGAGCCGAAATTTCCCCACCAGACGCTGAAGATTTCAAGGAGTACTCTTAAAATCTTGGCAGCATTGGCTCAACGAAATTTCCTAAAACTTGCAGTTTTATGTCTGGCCTCTTGAAAGGACAATTTACTTCACTTTTACCGATAGACCTCTACCGACGCACGTGAGAGGCGGCGGTTGGCAAAACACTCCCGCCGGTCGCTGAGTGGGGTACAGTCGCTCGGAGCTTGGACAAGCTTTTTTTCTTTAAAGACGATGGTCTTTTGGGGGGACCTTCGATGCCAAAATTTTGGTCTGTCTGTCTGTATATTGGTCTGTTTCTCCACGGTAACAGTGTCTTTAAAGGCACCAAGCGATACTTCTAACGGTCAACCCTATCTGCAGCGCCCACGAATATTGCTCAATATTCTGCGTTCATACTTGTGGGAGTGCCAATTAAAAAGCCAATATTGTGCATATCTGAGACACCATAACAACACGTCAATATTCTGTATATGTACCTTTATACTACAGAAGGTACACTCAAGTAATTCTGAAGACCACAGCGATTATCACGCTGCGCTGGCAGTGCAACGCGAGGCTCAAAGAGGCAAGTGTTCCCAACGCTTTGCTAAGACGACACGTTGGTGTCGTCTTAGCAAAGCAGATATTTTTGTTTATCATGTACTCCATACTTTTGTGGTTCAACCTTTATCAAATGACAATGCGCATCATAATGTGTGTATCAGGTCTAAAGGATCAGTGTAGATATGAAAGCACGTTGTAGGTGTCGTATCGTATCATTGTATCGGGTTTTGAATCGCATGAATATTCAGTTGGTTATTGAGAAACACCGATGCATAAATTCACTTTAATTTTCACTTGGATATGTCAGCGCATGGTAAAAAGTATTTCCTTTCTTTTTTTTTTTTCTCATTCATCACCGATCAGCATTTTGCGCAATGAGTGAGAATCTTATCCGTGACATTGCGCCCCGCAGTTCAAAACCATGCTGCCGTCGATGCTGTACCCCGTTTAAAACTGAATCGCAAATGCCGCGATAGAAATTGAGTAAGTTTAAATCTATGCCATGCAAATATTTCTCAAAGTGCCAGCCAACGTGTACATGCAAAACGTTGGCTTTCGAAGAAGGTAAAATTTCTTCATGGCTGCATCTACGTGGAAGAAGCCAACTGCGTGCTAGTCGCGTCTTTCAGGGCTCTAAATAAAGTTCCCCCATTCATCCATCTCGGGCAAGCAAGTTTCCGCACTATATGAGCAGTGATCCTTTCGCGACCTCCTCTTCAGAAAAGCTGTGACTTTAGAACATAGCAATGCAGAAATGTCCGTCGAAGGAAGGCAGACACGTAACTCTGCTATGCAGAAAGATGTCACCAGAAGCACTTTCTTGCCAACCAGCCCCTGCTAAGAGGGGGGCTATGGTGGCAGGGTGCCCAAAGTGACGTCACACTGTTTGCAAACAGGGAGAGGTTTATTGGGAGCTATACGTTTGAACTAACAGACAGCGCGCCATCAAAATCTATGACATCATTGCACTTCAAGCGGGAATTTCAAGGTGGCCCCGCTACCCACATTAGCGTCTTCTGGCGGCAAGCGTGGTGACTTTTGAATTAGGAAAGGGTAATTTCCAATTTTTTTTTTTTTTTTGAGAACTGCCCCGCCGCAGTGGTCTAGTGGCTAAGGTAGTCGGCTGCTGACCCGCAGGTCGCGGGAACGAATCCCAGCTGCAGCGGCTGCATTTTCAATGGAGGTGAAAATGCTGTATGCCCATGCGCTCAGATTTGGGTGCACGTTAAAGAATCCCAGGTGGTCGAAATTTCCGGCGCCCTCATCTACGGTGTCTCATAATCATATGGTGGTTTTGGGACGTTAAACCCCACATATCCATCAATCAAATCTTGTGAGAACTTTTTAGGGTACCTTTAAAAGAAAAAGAGATGTTGCACTTCACCCGTTCATAGTACAAAGTTATGAGTTTATCAGAAATAAAGGTTCCCGTTGAGGAAAAACTTGTCCTATGCCGAGATTCAAACCCCAAACCAGAAAAACTTGTCCTATGCCGAGATTCAAACCCCAAACCAGCACTTCTGTGCGACGTTGTCATATTCTTATCTGGAAACAACGCGCCTGTCCTAAACACCGAATTCGTTAACACAATGCCTCTTTATTTTCGTCAGTTCAGTCTCTATTAAGTGAGGGAGTGGCAGAAAGCCTGACCCAAACCTCAAAAGATTTAACTTTTTTCATTAGCGCAGCAAAACCGCTATCCTACTGTATGAGGCACGCCGTTTTATCCACATATGAAGCGGCTCTCGCTAATTTAGTTATTCCACCCGCAGGTATAGTTGCTCTCGACTCTCATTCTCGCCACCTGCTCCTCATTCGCGTGTCTCAGAGCTTGCTTCATGAAGTCGTGGTAGACCTTTCTTCATAAATATATCTCTCCCTCTCTTTGTTGTGCTTAATGATTTAGAAGAGTTGGCGGGCAGTTCGGTGATTTACCTAGGTTTCTACCACTCGCTCACCCTGATTGCGTGGTCTCCTTGCAATCCAGTTGGTCCTGTTCACCGTGCTGTCAACATTCTGCACATTGATGATGTCCGTCAGCATACCTGTAAGACATCACAAACAGTCAAAGACAAGAATATGCGGTGAAACTTTATGAAACCTTCACAGTGCCAGTGCTACTTTGTTTAACGTTGTAAACGACACTTAATGAGTTTAAAAGGCGCGCTAATTACTCCCGTTTAAAGGCGGCGCAAGCAAAAGTAGCAGCGTGATTTTACCTCCAGTGCACGTCTATGCTTCGGCGTTCCCAAGGTTATACGATGGTCCACAAGCTTACCGTGGAGCATATATGCACGGAAATGCAAAGGCTTTGTGCATTATGCGAGCTCACCAAGGTTAGGTAATGCATTCGGTGAATTTAAGTGTGGTCAGTTGACTCCGAATGTAATAACTATTTTATTGCGACAAAGATTATGCAGTGTGCGTGTATGTTTATTAAATTTGTGCAATTAGGCCACTGTTGTGTATGAAGTGAAATAGTGGCTTGTGGAATGTTTGCATGTATTAAGCGGTTGTAACTGGTTGTGTCACTGTAGCGAAGGCCAGCTTGAAGGAGGCTTGACAATAATAAATAGTTAAAAGAACAAAACATTGGGGCGCCAAAATGACTCATCATCCATTTATAACCAAGAGGTCTTCAAGTTTGGTCATGATAATTTATGCAGTCGATATGCATAATCTGCAGCTAAGCTACTAATTTGTTGCTAAAATTATACGTTCTATTTCTGTATTGTTTTTTTTTTCAGAGGCTGGTTGCTTTGTGGGCGAATGCCTGTTCGTCTTAGTCGTGTCCTGAAGTGGTTCAAGAGCGCTTTCTAGCCTCGCCGTATGCAGTGTTGTCGACCACAGTGAAACATTTGAGCGTAAAGCACAATTAAGAAGACGACGATGACTTAATAACTAGTGCTTGCCTGGTCCACAAGTCTTCAGCCGAGAGCTTGTGCATTCCGGACATCGCTTGCAGTCGCCCATGGTCTGCTTAGTTGGCGGTGCTGCGAATAAAAACAATTTTTGTCAATCTCGTGCAATTTGTGTCACAACTGGTTGCAATACAACGCTTACTTTGCCCGGCAGTTCTCTCCGAGTCATCGAACTCCTCTGTCCTTTCGTCTTCACCTGCGACGTAAACGAAATATATCATGAAAGTCTGACGCGCATTATGCAGTGTGTGCAATCGTCCTAGTAGTCTCAGTTTCATTTCATTATCGCTTCAAACTATGGCTGCAGTGCATTACATCATCCTTCAACATCTCTAGTTTAAGTTTGCAACGTAAGAGTTCTCAACTTTCTCTTTTCCACAACATACAAATGTATATGTATCTTAGTAGTTTCACGATGAATCAGTTATATCGCGATACTGTGCGGTACATGGGCGATTGGTGTTACAAATCCCACCGCTGCCACCACTGTTGCGTAGCATGCCGCCAAGGCTATTAAGGGCGCCAAGGTCGCCACTGTTGGTTATCGCCTGTTTCTCAGCTCGTGGCTGCTTCTGCGCAGAGCTGATAGGCAGAGTGGACAAGACGACAGTGAGTTAAAGCAACATTTATGTACAGCACAAGTAGAGGCGTTACATAATCGACACTGGAGCCGACAGCTTAGGAGCTCGAAGAGCCGAGATGTCTTCGGATGCTCTGACGCTATCGTGTGCTCTCTGACGCATAGGTCTGCTGCTTGGCATCGCGCCGCTTGGTTCTCTACAGGTCCCGGGTGATCGCTTACGTCAGCTACGTCCAATTAGAACCACCACTTGCCCTGGCGTCAGCAGCTGCCAATTAGGAACCGGCACGCTGTACTGCACCAATGAGCGAGTGGTATTGACACGCATTGCGTAAGACGCGCCAGACTGGATGGCGTTTATTGCAAATTGGACTGAAATCTGACCAATGCGTGGAGGGAGCTTGCTCGTGTTGCGTAAGACACCGTTGATGGAGATGGCGTCCGCCGAAACAGCTCGCTGGCCTTGACACTGGTTGCATTTACAGAAGCAATTACATTCGGTCTGGACTCCCAGGCATAACACTGGCCACTTTGTGATGAAATTGATCTGCCGTATTTTCAGGGGGGGGGGGGGGGTTAAAATACTTTCAGATGCGAAGCGTCATATGTTCCAACCTCAATACGGTGTGCCGCGTGAACCCCCTTACAGAGCATGCGCGCGCTCCCTCCTCTTTCTACTCTCCTACGCCACCCTCCTTTTTCGACTTGCAACGCCAACGCCGGCCGTGTCTGCTAGCGAGTTTCTTTGATTGGTTGATATGTGGGGTTTAACGTCCCAAAACCACCATATGATTATGAGAGACGCCGTAGTGGAGGGCTCCGGAAATTTCGGCCACCTGGGGTTCTTCGTGCACCCAAATCTGAGCACACGGGCCTACAACATTACCACCTCCATCGGAAATGCAGCCGCCACAGCCGGGATTTGATCCCGCGACCTGCGGGTCAGCAGCCGAGTACCTTAGCCACTAGACCAACACGGCGGGGCTAGCGAGTTTCTTTATTGAGAAAAAAAAACTGACTGCTCACATTGCACAATCGTTCACTGGCCATCCCGTATATATAGGCACTAGATCTTGACCTCCAAGGTGGTGCCGGTGGGATATTTCCCCTGTGCGTTGTTGATCAACAAAAGTTCGCAGCGTGCGCCTTAACTAAGAGCGATTGATTGATTGATTGATTTGTGGAGTTTAGCGTACCAAAACCACCTTATGATTATGAGAGACGCCATAGTGAAGGGCTTCAGCAATTCCGACCCCCTGGGGCCGTTTAATGTGCACCTAAATCTAAGCACAAGGGCCTACAACATTTTCACCTTCATCGAAGATGCAGCCGCCACAGCCGGGATTCGATCCCACGACCTGCAACCGAGCACCTTAGCCACTAGACCACCGTGGAGGGAAAAATAAAGAGTATCAAATTCCGTGTTTCAGTGAGGATCGAACCCGGGTCATTTGCGTGGCAAGCAAGTGTTCTCCTACCACAGTGCCACGCGTCTGCTTAACTAAAAACGGACTATGGTTATCTGTGTTCAGTCGGAGTCTTATGTCTTTCGTGTTATGTCTGCGTGCTTTGCGCTACCCCTGGTTTCACTGCTGTGCAACGCCGCGATGAGCCACGTCAATTAACGCCGCCGCCAGTGTAAGCGTTAGCGCCTATGCACTGCTTCACACGTGATTCCCTTTAGCGGAACATGGTGTAATTTTTGTGTGTGTGACAAGTCAAGAAAAACCGCCAGGCCTACGCTGAACGGACCGCACTGTCACATCGAGAGCTAGAAAACCGGCCTCAAGAGCCTTTTAAAGCGAAAGCTGTTATGAGATCAGAACACGGGTCACGCGCGGTGCCGTAGTTTTCCGTCACCGCCACCGAAGTCCGTCAGCAGTGTCGCAAGAAATAGGAAAAAAAGATTAGCAATTAAGAAAGCATTAGGGACACAATGGGATTCGAGCCCCAGTCCCCTGTGTGCCAGCCCAGTATTCTACCACTGAGCCACGCTGATGCTCGAAAATTGGTTCTAAACTGTCCACTGGTAGGCTTGATGTCGGGAAATTAATCGCGTAATATGAGTAATAAAACGTTTTAGAACATCAAAGGAACAACCGGGCGTCACACAATGCGTATTGTGTAACGAGTGGGTTGTCGAATGCTCCAATTCATTAGAAAACTTTTTCCTGATCACCTACTAATTGTGTTACATAGCCACTTAAGGCATAATTCTTCATCGTCATGAGCCACTACAAAAAAATTGCATAAAATTTCCAGCAAGCATGAAGCAGATACAAGAATCACGAAGGATAGCATAGTGAATGTTGCCCTACTACGCAAAATTTATGATCATTTATCGCGTAATAGGTACCCAGCAAGCGTGCTTGTAGTAGTTACCCAAAGTGTTTAGAAATGGCTCTCAAAGGCCGCTCTTCTAGCTTTAGGTGTGACTGTGCTGCGCGTTCCGCACAGGCCTGGCGTTTTTTTTTTTTTAACACTCTTCAGGTAGAACACAGCCCATTTTTGAGGTCGGGCTTCCGCGATATAAAGTATAGCAGCACGTAAGGCGGCAAGCTCCGCTGCTGTGGATGTTGTCCTATGCGACAGTTTGAGCTTTATAGTGACCTGGCACGCCGGGATAACTACAGCACCTGTGGAGCTGTCAGCCGAGACCGATCCATCGGTGTAAATGTGGGTCCTCTTGCCGTATTTTTCGTTGAGTAGCAACAATGTCACCTGTCGTAGGACCACTGTTGAATGATGGCTCTTGTTCGTTATTCCCGGAATAGTGAGGCACACCTGTGGTTGTTGTAGGCACCACGGGGGTGACGCTGGTCTTGTTGCTGGAGTGAATCCAAAAGGAAGGCATTCTCTATGGGCAGAAATAATCTTTGAAAACAGAGCTTGCAATCAGCTTTACGACAGAGGGAGCATCAACATCTAGTAAATGAAATAAGAGAAGTGATTCACGAAGTTTTATCGAAAGGACATGACTTGGTGTTTTAGTGGTTACCGGGACATTGTGGTATTGTCGGTAATGACCTTGCTGATAATGCTGCCCGATCCGCCCACGTGGACGCCCAGAAAACCCCAATTCCATTGTCGAGAACCAACGCTGCAAGAAGCCTTCACTCCTTCGCTAACACCATGACGGAAACTTGGGTGAGTGACCCCAGTGTCAAGAACCGCCGCCTACACAAATTGGACCCATCGAGAAAGCTTAAAGTTCTATCGGACCTCTCCCGCCAGGATGCAACTTTACTGTGCCGCCTGTGGTTAGGAGTAGCTTCTACAAAGGCGTACTCCTTTCGCATAGGAATGGCGGATAGCTCCCGATGTGAATCGTGCGACACTGACGATACAATTGAACATCTACTGTGTTCATGTGAACGTTTTGCGAGCGAACGCAACTTGCTACGCGAAACGTTAGAGACACTAGACAGTAGGCCTTTTTCCGAAGAGAAGATACTTGGCTCATGGCTCTACGCGTCGCTGGCCAGCAAAGCGACGCGGGCATTGCTAAGTTTTCTAAAGACGACCGGACTACGCGACCGCTTATAAGCGTGCAATGGACAAGGTCACATCTACACACACGTTGCCCTTCACTTCTCTCTCTCTCTTCTCCTTTAATCCCCTCACCCCTTCCCCCAGTGCAGGGTAGCAAACCGGACGTGCGTGTGGTTGACCTTCCTGCCTTTCATTTCTTCCTTTCCTCCTCCTCCTCCTCCCTCTTCAGGTAGCTGCTACAAGCACACCAGCAAGGTATCCACTACACCATCATGCATTGTGTGATAGACAGGCATTCACTATGCCATCCTTCGTCGTTCTTCCGAAAAGCGTGGCATCCACTAAACAGTTGCAACGAACTTCGTGGAAATTTTGTTTCTCGTGCAGTGGCTGACGACAATGAATACTTACGCCTGAAGTGGGTATGTGCCACAGTTAATAGGTGATGAAGAGCAAGCTTTTGTAATTGGTTGGAACATTGCACGACCCACTCGTTACGCAATTCGCATTGTCTGACGCCTGAAAACCCTTCATTCTCATATTCTAAAACATTTCATGACTCATACTAACGCGATTCCTTTCCTGTCATCAAGCCTGCCTAAGGCAAGTTTGCGAATGAGTCTCGAGCATCGAGTGGCTCAGCGGTAGAATGCTGGGCTGGGGCGCAGTGTACCCGGGTACGAATACCACTATGTCCTTTATGTTTTTTTTTTATTTCATGCGATAGCGGTTACGGGCAACGGCGGCGGCGGCGGCAGCTCCGCGGGTGACCCGTGTTGTGATCTCATAACAGCTTTCACTGTAAACGGTGCATCATCACCGAGAAAGGTTGTCGAGGGGTTTCCTACACGCACAGAGTCACCCATGTGAAATCAGGATCCGAGCTGCGGAATTCTCCGGTCATGAAGGCGGCATTTATTCATTATAACACGAGCCTGTGCTCGTCTACAGCATTTGAGAGACTTTTGTCATTCGCAAGTTTTGTGTAGAGGAAAAACCGACACTGTCCGGAAAGCAGCCTTCTTGGGAAGCTAATTTGTTGCAACAATCTTGTCACACAAACACATCTGGCGCGAAATTAATGTATGCTTTTTTCTTAAACCATTTGGGCTCGTTAGTTCTACGGGTGATATTTGACGTGCAGATTCCCACGCACTGCAACGATAATCATGATATTCTGCTATTCTTAACATCTCATAGCGTCAGCGTCTCTGAAATAATCAATTACTGAAGCACCAATATTCTAGTATATTTTCTCCAGGATACTATTCTTTACATTTTTTTTTTCAGAAGTATGCCCAAAATATCCCTCCACGCCAAACAGAAATGTATCTCAGTATCTACATTATAGGCTTCCGGCTCATATATTTTGATATCTGTATTCGATAATACTTTTCAAACAATCTCGGTCCAGCCTTGGCAACGGTAGCTGAATAAGACATGTTACCTTTCGCATGTATCTTTGCGCTGCGCTGTTACTGAAACGACAAGTTGGCCGAGTTGGTGCGTTATCAATAAAAAAAAAACGCACTAGGCGAAAAATTTAGACAACATTATTCGACAAAAACTGTTCGGCAGTGCCACTAATTTAGTTGCTGATAGTTAAGCAACGAAGTTTCTTTATTTTACTTATTTGTTTGGCTCAGTGATTTGATTATTCATTTCTTCGTTCATAAGTTTAGCTATTTATTTAGTTAGTTATTTGATCAATTGTTTAATTGAATAGGTAGTAGCCTAATGATTCGTTGGCCAGTTATATACTCAGGTAACTAGTTAATTAATTAGTTGGTGGGCCGATTAGTTAGTCAGTCAGTCAGTTAGTTAGTTAGTTAGTTAGTTAGTTAGTTAGTTAGTTAGTTAGTTAGTTTAGTTAGTTAGTTATAGTTAGTTAGTTAGTTAGTTTGTTTGTTTGTTTGTTTGTTTGTTAGTTAGTTAGTTAGTTAGTTAGTTAGTTAGTTAGTTAGTTAGTTAGTTAGTTAGTTAGTTAGTTAGTTAGTTAGTTAGTTAGTTAGTTAGTTAGTTAGTCTCCTGGTTTGTGACTCACTGTAGACGGTGAGCGATCCGATGGCCTGCCCGAGGGCGTTTTTGCTGACGCAGTGGTAGAGTCCGAAGTCTTGCGGCCCCACATCGGTCACGTTGAGCGTCATGAGGGTGGTGTAGCCGCGGTCGTACTCGCGCACCCGGTACTTGGGACCGTCCTCGAGGAACCGTCCCGAGCGCAGCGTCCACGTGTTCACCGCCGCCGGGAAGGCCTCGACGTGGCACTCGAGCAGTGCCCAGCCTCCGACAGCCGTCGCCACCGACCACTGCTTGATGCGAATGAACGGCGGGACTGCACGGTGTCACCATCAGCAGTGACGCATCGATGTTGACTAACAAAACAAGCAACTGAATACTCGAACAGCGCAACGCTATACATGAACACTGTCTTGCTGCAGTATACCTTTTTTCAAGCAATCCCACAAGGCCCCGCGGGCGCGCGGAGCACTATGGAAAAAGTTGATACGCCGAGCGGACCGGCTCTTCCTCCTGCTCGCGCTGCTCGTTAGCGCCGTGCTAGCACAAAACGAAAAGAACATGCCGCCGAGTGTCTAATGGAGTCCGAACTCTCCTGCATGTATATATACGCATGAAATGTGAAATTAATAACGCAGTCACTGCAAGTATCTCTAGGCGGGTGTACATAGAACGTAGGAGATTAGTGGCATGCGAGTTGTTGCGTACCGATACATGTGGTCAAAACGTGCTATCGTGAGGATTGTGAGCTGGAACACCGAATTTATAGTTCTTCAACAATGAACTGTTCATAAAACGTTATGCCTTTAAACACTATCGTGGTTGTATTGGGTCGTCAACACAAGACTGCAGAGAAGTGTTACAGCTATAGCTATAGCTTTTCAAATTTTTATGGGCAAGTCACGAGCTGAAAAAAATAAAAACAAACACACTATAAACGTGTTTCAAGACTGTTGTTATTGGGCCCCGTGTTCCGACCTCACTTGGACGTGTGGAAAAATGTTTGATTTTACCGCGCTTCCTGCGGGCCCAGTAAGCGACAGCACAGTCCATCGGCTGGCCTCAAGCCCTCTGGGTCCACCCGGTCGATGGTTACCTGGAAATGACTGTTTTGACATCTGGGCTCCCAAGAAAGACCAGTCCCTTGTGCGTTGTCCGAGTCGTCGGCAGGCTGCTTACAATGAACCACGTGCCGGAGGAACCGGAGTGCCTTTCGAGTGTTCTTTCCTTCGGCGGCAAAGCCTCCTCGATGAGTCATCCTTGAACCTTGCCAAACAGGAGGAATCTACTCAGCGCGTCAGTTAAAGGTTAACGTACCTTGCTTTTTGTGTGTACTGCCCCCCCCCCCCCCCCCCCCTGTAAGACGATCGGTGCGTACCTTCCCCCTTGTCCTGGGAGGGGTTGTGGCCTGCCTGTTCGTGAGCGCAGTAAAAGGCGGTGGTTCGCGAGCACAGTGGTTCTCGAGCGCAGTGAAAGACGGTGATTCTGTTGGAGGATCCTTGACTATATTGTCTTCCTTCACAGAGAGTCTTGGGAAGAAGGATGGTATAAAATGCGAGCGCAGAGACGCTTGGGTATGCTTTTCATTTTTATCGTGTATCACGCTATCTAACCATGTAACTACTGTAAATAAACGTTCCCGTTTTCAGCTGCGTCTCCTCGGTTTGTCTTCGCCCTGACCCTCGGATAACTTCGAGTCTCGACGCAGTCCCCCAGTCGCAACAAGACGAAGGGATGTAACAAAGATTCACGTGCCAGATACCGTGTGCTGATAATGTGCGGTTTTTTATAAGATGCTTAAGTGTCTCTGCAGAGCATGTCTGCTGACAGTATATTTCGCATTGAGTTCGACCACTGTTGACTTTCGCTTCGGCACATTGAAATAGTGGGCAATGCGGAGTAATGATGTCGTACTTACGCTCGGTGAAGAGAAAAAAAACTTGGGCACATCACCTGAACAATAGTTTCCAGCTGCAAGAAGACGCGGTGTCCTGCCTATATCATATTGCATCTGTTTGTGAACAGTTCATAGGCACTGCAAACAAAGATTCGTTCGGAAGACCCATGAAGAAACTAGGAATATTTGCTCCATGCATGCGTTCTGCACAATCTGAGAAGAAACTGGGAAGGGGGGGATTGTGTTTTCCGCACCATATTCTTAGTAACACTTCTTCCGTAGAGCGCGAAAGGTCGCAGGGGTCTGCAGTGGGCAGAAAAAAGCACTATGAAAGGCATGCCGATTGTTATTTCGATTGTTGTGCAGGATTTGCCGACAGCATTCCTCCTGTGTTTACATATATACATCGGTCGGACTGTTTGATGTACCAACATCCGCCTGAGAGAGCATCGAAATTCATTGAATGAGGCCATATTATTGCACCTCGCGTTTTCCGTCATGCAAATGCAGTTTCGTGTATGAAGGCCTGGTAATCTTGCACAGTCACCCTAACCAGACCACGCGAGAAATCTCGGAGACATAAGAACACCACACCTTGCTGAAGTCAATTAACCTTCACTTTAGTTACAACACAAGAAAGTCAACTTTATAATTCAACGGTAAGCACGCGTCTAGGTTGTTTCCTCTTTGTGCCTGTTGGTAACATGCGCGATGCACCCCTATTCTCTTGCATATGTTTTTAAACACGTGCGATAGCCTCTCCGGTGTGCATATTTCTTTCTTTGTCGTACTTCTTTTTTCAACCTTGTAGTTTTACTGCAACATGTGGTTACAGTGTCAAGAAAAGTTATTATGTACATATCGTGCAAGCGGCGTTCACATGGTCTAGTGAGTGTATCTTATTTTACAGAATATTGGCTCTTTCTAAAGCATTATTTAAATATAGCAGAACTGTACAATTTATTTGTAAACAGCGTCTAAAGATAATGATTTGTAATGCATCAGTGAGTGTATTGACAGAGCTTGCAGCTTCTAGGCAACCAAGTTGTACAGTTCTTTTTTTTTTCATTTATGCCGAAGACGGACTGGCGTTAAAAGATAATAATTTACTGACGATTCTAAGCAGCTCCACTGGCTAAACAGGAGGACAAGTGCAAATCATAGACAGGCCGTCGCAGATAAACACTGAAGTTTGTGAGCAAATTACGCATTAATTTATGACACCTTGCCGAGTTCCCTTGATCTGACAAGCGCTGGCACGGTGCAAACGGAAAGCTGAAACGTGAGGCCCACGCGCTCGTCGTGGTGGCTGCTGCGGTGTACCAACGTTTTCCATAAGCGTTTGCACACCCATTGGCGGCACTGGTGTGCTTTAAAAAAGGTCTACTAACTGCAACAGCCATCTTATCAACGAAGAAAGCTTGGATCAAACTTAAAGGGGTGGTGGCATGAAATTTCGAGACTACAATAAGCATTTTGTGTGTTTCCTCTGTGTGCAAGGACACTCAGCACGACATTTAGAATATAGCTTAATTCCCTTCCAAAATGTACACAAATGCCCATTCTCCAGATCGAAGCCCATCGCAAGCGCGTCCAGCGCTGACGCAGCTTCATAGGAAGGGCAACGGAAAATTGTAGTGGCGTCACTACAGATCTGCAGTGAGCATAAGCATGCGCCGAGCTCACCTTCTGGGAGGATGAAGGCCCCAGATGAAGGTTCATCGACGTGACGGCTGTATGACAGGAGTACGTGTGTACTAAGCTTGGATAGCCAGCACTGCAACCACAGCTGACGTTTCAAGAACATTACGGTCTACTTCAAAAGTGAGACCTGGCGTGGCTCTGTGGTAGAATACTTGGTTTCCAGCAGAAGGCTGCTGGGACCCTGACATTTTCTTTAATATACATTCATCATGGCAGCGCAGCCTATGTCAGCTATTTTAGACAAATCATGCATTAAAATTATCCAAGTCAATTACTGTCGTTCCTAGGTAGATAGGAAGTGTCAATCACCAGCGGCACTAGGTCACATACCAGCATACCAGTGGCACATACCTGCTAGCTGGTTTGAGCCATTGTCTGGCGGAAAGCGTTTGATGACGTACGCAACGAGATTGCGAAATTATTCCTGTCATGACCAGTGAGTCGTATTCGTCAAACCATCTCACCTTCCTATAGAAATATACGTTTACCTTAAATTAGGGGGGGGGGGGGGGGGGGAATCTCAAGAGCACTCAAACGTAGGCGGCTTGCTATAGTCTGTCTCTGCGTTCCTCCTTCCGTCTTGATTGATTGATTGATCCGACCTAAAGTTAGCTAAAAAATTTAGTGGGATGCAGCAAAACGCTAGTACTCACAAGTAACTTCCAAAAGAACTTCCTTGGTAGCTTCTACCGGCACCCCGTTCGACGCAGTGCAGAAGTATCGGCCCATCTCCTCCCGTGTCACGTGGGTCAAGTTCAGCTGGCGGTCCTGAACAAGTGATTCTGAAAAAGATCAGTTAGACCTGGGGTCTCAAACTGACATCGGCTATCGGGCCGCAGTCACGAAATGTAGTCTCTCAAAGAGCAGGCACGGGGAATCAAAAGGGAAGAGAAAGTTTGAACAGCGTTTCCTCAAACGTTGTCATTTGAAAGAAGGCTTTTCCTATATCTGATAGTATTTTTATAAAGTAGGAAGGGAAAGATGGAAGCATGCGATGAAAAATCTGTCAACAGGGGCTGGAACATGTTCCAGCCTTGAGCGAGACAAGTCTGCTTGTCGAAACGTCGGGTCGACACAACCCCAGTTTACGGATTTTTTTAATCCCCATAAGGGTCATTTCAACGGGTATTTACACAAGGTCTGAAATGTGGACGCTGATCCTGAACACACAAAGTGTGCGTATGGAGTGCGTTGAGTGAACTAGAAACGCAAGAACACACTACCAACTTACCCACTTTTCTATCCTGTTGTAACGTGTATGCTGTTGCAACGTTGCCTCACAAGAAAAATGCTTAAGACTTGTCACATCTCCGTTGCTTACTCGCACCAAGGCTAACCTATCACGACTGGTGACAGAGTAATGCAGACACCCTTTATCAGTTTTACGAAGAATCCCATAGTCATAAAAGCAAACGGAATGAAGACCATCATGTGCGGGCAGCAGGCAAACAGTCGGCGCACCGCGTGTTTGAGACCCTTGAGGGCGGCCTTGTGTCCAAATCCACCCATGTGCGTCAGTCACGTAGCCACGTTAGACCACAGGAAGTGATTCAGGCGGTCTTATTCATGTCCCGCTACACTCGATTAAAACCTAAGATAAAATCGACAGTCGCACGGAAAACTGTCGATCTGTTCAGAAACAGACATGTATGAATACAGTCAAAACAAAATACTGACCACGATAAAATCAAAAGGCATGACGTTAAGATGGCAACATTGCCCTCAGAATCACTTCGCCCCTGCTCCTTCCTTGAAGAGGGCAGTCGTGCTAGTTAATTTTCAATCAACCATGTTTCGCTCAGCGGCGATGTCATAATCCCGGTCAAAATTTACCGCGACGTGAAATGTTCTTATCTAAAACCGATGGCACAAACGCGTCCCTGTAAGGAACAATTGGCTATCTGCGCACTTCCAGCAGTGATTTTCGTTATCAATCATCATCATCATCATCATCATCATCAGCCTCACTACGTCCACTGCAGGACAAAGGCCTGTCTCATGTTCCGCCAGTTAACCCGGTCCTGTGCTTGCTGCTGCCAATTTATACCCGCAAACTTCTTAATCTCATCTGCCCACCTAACCTTCTGTCTCCCCCTAACCCGCTTCCCTTCTCTGGGAATCCAGTTAGTTACCCTTAATGACCAGCGGTTATCCTGTCTACGCGCTACATGCCCGGCCCATGTCCATTTTTTCTTCTTTATTTCAACTATGATATCCTTAACCCCCGTTTGTCCCCTAATCCACTTTGCTCTCTTCTTGTCTCTTAAGGTTACACCTACCATTTTTCTTTCCATTGCTCGCTGCGTCGTCCTCAATTTAAGCTGAACCCTCTTTGTAAGTCTCCAGGTTTCTGCTCCGTAGCTAAGTACCGGCAAGATACAGCTGTTATATTGACCCGTGTCTGCGTGTGACTCAACAACAAAGAAGATCTTGTGGCTCAGCTGTTGAGAACACGCTGCTTTCGCTGCCTCAAGGCGTACTTGTACTTTGTTCGCGTTGTACTGCGACAATATACCTTCCTCTTGAGGGATAGTGGCAATCTACCTGTCATAATTTGAGAGTTCTTGCCGAATGTGCTCCACCCTATTCTTATTTTTCTAGTTACTTCAATCTCGTGGTTAGGCTCTGCGGTTATTACCTGCCCTAAGTAGACATAGTCTTTTACAACTTCAAGTTCGCTATTACCTATCTCGAAGCGCTGCTTCTTTCCGAGGTTGTTGTACATTACTTTCGTTTTCTGCAGATTAATTTTAAGACCCACCTTTCTGCTCTCCTTGTCTAACTCCGTAATCATGAGTTGCGATTCGTCCCCTGAGTTACTCAGCAATGCAATATCATCGGCGAAACGCAAGTTACTAAGGTATTCTCCATTAACTCTTATCCCTAACTGTTTCCATTCTAGGCTTCTGAAAACTTCCTGTAGGCACGTGGTAAATAGCATTGGGGAGATTGTGTCCCCCTGCCTTACACCCTTCTTGATTGGTATTTTGTTGCTTTCTTTATGAAGCACTATGGTAGCAGTTGATCCCCTGTAGATTTCTTCCAGAATGTTTACATATACTTCATCTACGCCCTGATTCCGCAGTGTCTGCATGACGGCTGATATTTCTACTGAATCAAACGCCTTCTCGTAATCTATGAAGGCTATGTATAGGGGTTGGTTATACTCTGAGCATTTCTCTATTACCTGATTTATAGTATGAATGTGGTCCATTGTTGAGTAGCCTGTTCGAAATCCTGCTTGTTCCTTCGGTTGATTGAATTCTAATGTTTCTTTACTCTGTTAGCAATTACCTTTGTAAATAGCTTGTATACTACAGAGAGCAAGCTGATCGGCCTGTAATTCTTCAAGTCCTTGTCATCTCCTTTCTTATGTATTAAGATGATGTTAGCGTTCTTCCAAGACTCTGGTACCCTTCCCGTCAGGAGACACGTCGTAAACAGGGTGGCTAGTTTTTCTAACACAATCTGTCTTCCATCTTTCAGCAGGTCTGATGTTACCTGATCCTCACCAGCAGCTTTGCCTCTTTGCATGCTCTCCAAAGCTTTTCTGACTTCTTCTATCATTACTGGTGGGGTGTCATCTGGGTTACTGCTAGTTCTTATAGTATTAAGGTCGTGGTTGTCTCGGCTACTGTACAGATCTCTGTAAAACTCCTCCGCTATTTTAACTATCCTATCCATATTGGTAGTTATTTTGCCTTCTTTGTCCCTTAGTGCATACATCCGACTTTTGCCTATCCCAAGTTTCCTCTTCACTGCTTTGACGCTTCCTCCGTTTTTCAGAGCGTGTTCGATTCTCTCCATGTTATACCTTCTTACATCGCATACTTTACGTCTATTAATCAACTTCGAAAGATTTGCCAGTTCTATTTTGTCTGTTGTACTTGACACTTTCATGATTTGACGCTTCTTAATTAGGTTCTTCGTTTCCTGGGAAAGCTTGCCAGTGTCCTGTCTAACTACCCTGCCTCCAACTTCCACTGCACACTCCGTAATGATACTCGTCAGATTATCATTCATTGTATCTACGTTAAGGTTGGTTTCCTCACTAAGAGCCGAGTACCTGTTCTGCAGCGACACTCTGAATTCCTGTACTTTCCCTCTCAGTGCTAGCTCATTGATTGGCTTCTTGCGTATTAGTTTCTGTCGTTCCTTCTTCAGGTCTAGGCGAATTCGAGACCGTACTATTCTATGGTCACTGCATCGTACCTTACCAACCACTTCCACATCCTGCACAATTTCCTGGGTGTGCACTCATTATAAAGTCTATTTCGTTCTTATTTCCGCCATTAGGGCTCCTCCATGTCCACTTGCGGTTTTCTCGTTTTCGGTAGACGGTATTCAACATCCGCAAATTATTGCGTTCTGCGAATTCTACTAGTAGCTCTCCTCTGGCGTTTCTAGTGCCGATGCCATAATCTCCTGCTGCCTGGTCTCCAGCCTGCTTCTTCCCTACCTTTGCATTAAAGTCGCCCATCACTATAGTATACTGTGTTTTTACCTACTCATTGCTGATTCCACGTCTTCATAGAAGCTTTCAACTGAAGCGTCATCATGGCTGGATGTAGGCGCGTAAGCCTGTACTACCTTCATCTTGTATCTTTTATTCAGTTTAATTACAATACCTACCACCAGTTCATTAATGCTATAGTATTTCTCTATGTTGCCAGCTATGTTTCTGTGAATTAAGAAACCCACTCCCAGTTCTCTTCTGTCTGCCAAGCCCCGATAGCAAAGGACGTGCCCATTCTGTAGCACAGTATAGGCCTCATCTGTCCTCCTAACCTCACAGAGCCCTATTATACCATTTAACACCCTCTAGCTCCTCGAATAGTACAGCTAGACTTCCCTCACGAGATAAGGTTCTAGCGTTAAATGTTGCCAAGTTCAGGTTCCAATGGCGGCCTGTCCGGATCCAGAGATTCTTAGCACCCTCTGCTGCGTTGCAGATCTGACCGCCACCGTGGTCAGTTGCTTCGCAGCGGCTGGGGACTGAGGGCCATGATTTATTTGACGTATGCATGTGGGAGGTAGTGGCCAGATACTGCACCAGGGTGGCCAATCCTTCTCTGGTGAGGGAGTGCGTTCCCGGCGGTGGTTACCGGTGAGGCCGCACCCCAGGCCTCTTAATGCAGTTCCATCAACACGCGGTTTTTTTTAATCTGGTTGAGAACTGCGCGGCACCGGGATTTGAACCACGGACCTCTTGCATGCGAGGCGGATGCTCTAACCACTACGCCATCGCCGCACCCGCGCAGGGATTCCTACAAACTTCATGCACGCGGAAAGACTGCAACTACCGTTGTGGTGTCTACATCCACTGGAAGCCCTGGTAACCATTCCCGGAACACAAAAGACAGTCATCAAATTTAGCCCTACAACAAGCCACACTACTGTACCTGCAGGAAAACACAGCGGACGCCTCCACATTTACATGAACGGTTCCGTTTTTACCGCAAGCTCAGCAGGGGCGTTGGTAATTCCAGAGAAATACGTCACCATAAAATTGAAAGCATACCATTTGACATCATCAACTGCTGCAGAACTCACAGCCATCCGTGCTGTTCTAGAGTTCGTACTTGATAAACCACTGCAGGCATGGTCAGCCTTCTCGGACTCCAGATCAGTCGTGCAGTGCTAATGTCGCCGTGTCGTCATGGACCAAACGAACATTTAGTTGCTTGCCTAAAACTGCTTCATCACCGTGCTGTGGAGAAGCAGCCCAACATAGCCTATCAGTGGATACCGGGCCATTTCGGCATCTACGGAATCCACCATACAAATGAAGCCGTCCGATCTCCTCATGATGTTCTCCATTGCGCAGCTATATCATTCATTATCGACAACGGACGCCGCTACAAAACTTCGTTCACTTGCACGTGACTTGACACTCGCACAGTGGAACTCGACAAAATTCACCAACACATGTATTCGCAAACTGGACCCTAATCTACATCTACGTCTTTCGACGGGAATAACTAGAACTGAGGAGACGCTCCTGTTCCACCTGTGCCTTGGGGTGGCCTTCACGAATGCTCACTTGTTTCGCGTCAGAATGCTAGGAGACTATTGCCCACATTCTGTGTATATGTGCGCCCTCGTTTCAGTGAAACAAGAACAAAACTGTCAAAAGTGTTCAATAGACTTGACGATCGCCCATTGTCGGATAAAAAGGTCGTAGGACTCTGGACGAAACCATATTGGACACGGAAAGCTCTGAAAGCATTGTTGCGTTTCCTAACGACGACTAGTCTCACAGACATACATTAGGCAGTGTCATCCGACGTTCTGTTCTCTTTTTTTTTCTCTTCATCGCCTTTTGTAACTTCTCTCTTTCATCATCTTTTATTCCCCTCACCCGCTTTCCCAGCACAGGGTAGCCAGTCGGTCTGAGAGCTGGCTAGCCTCCCTGTTATTCCGTTTTCCTCCTTCTCCCCCCCCCCTTCAGCTATCTAAAACACTCCTGAAGTGCTTGACGCCTCAAAAAATGAGTAAGCGTTATTGTACGAAGCACGAAGAGGAAGCGATGGCTATGAACAGAGCTGGCATTGCTTTCTTAAGCTGTAGCCGAATATCAGGGTCAGATCCAGGCAGTCATCTTGAAGGAGTGGGGGGCTTGATATAAAACATGAGAGAGGGCGTCCTGACTTTTTGTTGTGGTATCATCACAAGAAACTCACCACAGCCACCACTCACCATACTGTTAATTTGTTCCTCTCAAATGCTCTAATCGGTGATAAAGGTGGATGACAGACACTGCAGGGAGAGCACTGGATCTGCCACTGCCGAGTACAAGGTCATCTAAATCTGCCTACCAAGGTTACGCCAAAACGGGCTTCTTACTCATTAAATAAAGCAATATTATTGTACGCAAATTCCGCTAACCTCAACACCATTAGCAAAAAAACATTCCTATGGATTGTAGTAGCAAAAACCTAGTTGCATTGTATAGATCTTGAAAACACGTTTGTGCTCTTTAGTAAACAGCATTGATACTAGAAAAGGCTAAAAGCAAATTCATTTTCTACACATTGGTGACCTTGCCAATGGCATCAGCAAGCATGGAAAAACCAAAACTAATTACCTTCGCTGTAGTCATTACCATACTGCGCTATTACAGGGCAACAAAGTTCTGCAATATAAGGCCAAGTATACACTCAGCATAAAAAAGCTGGGTTAGTTGGTTTCGTGCCGCATTATGAAAACACCTGCCAGCGCACACAAAACACACATGGACATTTGTATTCTATGTGTGTTTCTGTGCGCTGGAAGATGCTTCGGAAATACACACGTTTCGAAGCAGTGATTGCGCTAAAGTGATTGCGCCTTTACGCTAATAGTTTTGCTGGAGCTATACCAGCAATATTTCAACTAAGCAAGTATGAAAACGTTTTTGTGCACAGCGGCCTTGATTTTACCATGAAAAGTGCTATTTTGCGCGCTCCTCGAAATCAGTTAATACACTAATCTAGCTGTGCACGTAAAACAGTGAGAAATATCAAATTGCTCAACTGCAGCCGGGAAGAATACAGCCTAAGCTTTACTCCGACTATAGCGTGCAATTGTAGCAAAGGTTTCTTGCAGCTTTAGATTAAGGACACGTAGCTGAAGGAGCAATAACCACTTCGAAAAAGCTACGCTTTCCGGTGCGTTCAGATAACAGTCGAAGGGCTCCGCGAGATAGAGAAGCATTCGCTCAATGGCGCAATATTCAAGCTGGAATTCTCGCCGCTGATTTCGCGGTGACAACCGAGAACCCCTCTTACCACATGAGTTTTTCGTAAACAGATGGCGTCAATGTCTTATCATCTTTGTTTTAATAGTACTTACATCATTGTGTGTGACTTTCTACTTTTGGTATTTTTGTGCTTGCTAAAGCCATTGGGAGGGGCACCAATATGTAATTGTCTAAAGGGGCCGATGTCCAACGGAAACCGCTTGCACCCTGAAAATTGTTGAACTTCCTTTACGTGATGCATATAAAAAGATGGCCGCGTATCTGCGTGCTCCAAGCCAAATGTCCTCAAAAGACGATAGCCTTCTCTCTGGAGGCGCTGCGCGAGATATGGATGCCATCTGGCAGCAATGTCGGAAAACAAACGCTTGTGTAGAATGCAGAGACACTGGTAGGGGGCAGCACCATATCGTCTCAAGGAAGCGTATGAAGTACCCGCTTTCTTCCTGCATAGTGTCCCATTGTCAGCGCAGTGGAAGAAACACTAGAGTTTTTAAAATTATGTGTCTATGCATTTTCTAGTAAAGAAACACACCACCTGATATTTATATATTGATGTTGAGCATCAGATGTACGTAATACTTGCTTTTTGATCGACAATGTTGACAAGTATGAATGCAGCGACCACATCAGAATGACTGGGCGTTCAGCAAGGGCTCTTAAACTTTCACCGAATGGCTGACAGACCAAAATTTCAGCGTTGAAATGTCCCCAAAAAACATCCCACGATAGAATACTGTTTTTTTCTAAAATCTCGTCATTATTGGACTATCTTTTTTAGAAATAACGCATCATCGGCCTTACCATGGAAACGCTGTCCGTAAATGGGTCTCCCGTTCTCCCTCCGCCACGTAACAACGGGCTCCGGCTGTCCCGTAGCCGAGCAGTGAAGCCGCACATTCTCACCTTCGCGGATGGTCACTGTCTGCACCGTCTGAGCATCCACAATGGCCGGGGGTACTGCACACGTGGGCCGAAGGCAACATCCACGTAAATGCGTAACACGGCATTCGTATATACCTATATGGGATACACAGGATGGACTATTTGTTCAAACACTGCGTATAAGACTGACGCAGTTTGCGTTTATTTGCTTACGTATTAGTTTATTACGTCCACGTGACAAGTGTTGTGTAAAGTACAGTGCCCCATAATGCACTAAACCAACTGCTATATTACGACACATTATTAGGAGAGTTCCGTCAGACGGCATCAAGTTTAGAAGCAAATTATTTCAGGCACACTTGCTTGCTGTGCAATACCAAAGGAGAAGCGAAGTCGAATTGACTGCAAAAGTGAATATCAAGGCAGCGTTCACGTCTGCGCTACCAGCTCTTTTTAAATTTTATCAATGCCAGTCTCATGTGCCCGATCCAACCGTTCACCACCCTCTCCTCTAGCACAGTTTATGTAACAGAGTTGGTTGTTTGACCTCCAGGGACGCACTACTTGCTTAAGCAAGTAGTGCGTTCCGGTGGTAGCGCTACCTCGGTGCACCTCTTGTTCTGCGCATGCCGTGATGTCGGCTGCCAGTACCTATATATATACTTTTCACCCCTTTTTTTTTTCCAATAAACACTTGTCAGTCAGCGCCGTTTTTTCTTTCTTTTTTGCTCCTTCCCTGTCCTGTGTTTTTCTGGTGTTGCGTTGTAAATAGGTTCACGATAAATCTTAACCAACTGGCCCAACTTACCGTCTTACTTCGGTTGTCTATCATGTTAAGAAGGTGACCATTGTTTTGAGGAAGCCACAAAGCGGCTTTAGAGGTCTTCGAGCTAGGCCACAGCTTCTTCATTGTGAAGTGCCTTCTCACTCTCAGCAAACGCTACAGTGCTGCACAGAAACTTCGAGATAGCACAAAGCCCTGTGGAAGCTTGAAGCCACGAGGTGGCATGCCGCTGGGCCGACACCACACGTGGTGCATTCACACAGAAGTGCTGGATCCTTGCATCGTCTCTGTCCGCGACAGCGAGTGTTTCGCAATGATAGCGAGTGCATTCGAGGAAGCGAAGCATGTATGTTGTGAACCGATAAGTATTTAGTGAGCGAAACAGTTAGCTGACATAAATGAGCCAACTAGATAGTTTGTTAGTTAGTCAGGCAGTCAGTTAGTGACTTAGTTAGTCGGTTAGTTATTTAGTTGGTTAGTAAGTTAGTTAGTTAGTTGGTTAGTTGGTTGGTTAGTTAGTTGGTTAGTTGGTTAGTTAGTTAGTTGGTTGGTTAGTTGGTTAGTTGGTTAGTTAATTAGTTAGTTAGTTAATTAGTTAGTTAGTTAATTAATTAGTTAGTTAGTTAGTTAGTTAGTTAGTTAGTTAGTTAGTTAGTTAGTTAGTTAGTTAGTTAGTTAGTTAGTTAGTTAGTTAGTTAGTTAGTTAGTTAGTTAGTTAGTTAGAACTTAACGACGTGATGACATGAAGGAAAGCGTCCTTCGGCATGAGCAACCCGTCTTGGCGTGAACGCATCAAATTACAATAGGTTGGCTGTTCCGCTTTCAAACGCACCGCAGCCAAGTGTTCTATAAGCTTTTTCTGATCGACGCGGCGAAGGTGCCGTTGTATACATGCGCGACAACCACGTGTGCACTGCTCGCTTCAATCGGTGGTTTTTTTTTTTTTTTCAGCGCGGCATCGACTCAGTTGTACAGCAAGTAGGTTTAAGCGTCTGTTGCAAAGTAGCGCACGACTCTCTTTCTGGCCGCGACGCCATTTCGAGCGAGCATTTCCACACTTGCGGCTCGAGCATCTCGCCTGAAATGCGCCAGCGCCTGCACGCGGCCAACGCGCCATGGTAACGAGGAAGAAAAACAATGGCTTCTTGAATTTGCATCTCGGTTAGCAGCGGGGATAACGGTCGTAAAAAAGCTCGCGCGCGTAGCTTCTCGCTTGCATGTTCCGACTGATGCGCTTCGAGCGACTTCCGCGTTTGTGGGAACACTGGAATATGTTACGCATACGCTGTGCGGTGAAACTGTGCAACGCGGTCAACGCCAGTGCCGGTTACGTCGGTGTCCAACTACCACGTTGCGGCTTTACTGATCTAGCGTAAATTGCGTTACTTATATATTCCCATACATTCACACGAAATTCAATCCGTTACGCAACCAAGCCGTGGTGTGTTATATATAACAATTATTTTGTATTGGGAACTTTTCCTTTCGGCATCGCGGCTCGCATGCTGACATGTATGCGCAACCTGTGATAGGAAGTCAATTTTATCGGAGGATATAAACGTGACTGAAGTACGCACTTGGTCTCCGTAACTGAAACACAAGAGTACAGTTTCGGAAAGAATAATATTAATTTGAAATTACCTCCGTTTCAGTTGCGTCGTGTTTTCAAACTTGTCACGATTCTGCAGCCTGAAAATGGGGTAATGCGAACACACGAAAGACGAATGCATCAGACTGTGATGACCACCAATCTTATATGAGAGGAGAGCATAGTGATGTCTGTTATTTTTCAACTTGTATGCTCATGCATTCTTAGTTCTTTGAAGAGAGCGAAAGATAGAAGGCTACTGAAACAAGGCAGGAAGGCTGTATCTGCATGGCGATCTATACCCTATGCTCTGTTGAAGGAGTAAGTGGTCAGAAAGAGTAAGGGAACTATTGAGTGACTCGTGCGCACATAACAGTGCTTTCCCTCACACTTGGAAAGGCTGGTAAAGCTGAGTTGCCTTCAGCAAGCACACCCGAGCTCTCACATTACTGTTGAACAACGCTTATCGAGGTTTCAGAAGTATTCCTTCACTATGTCACACAGTCTGTTCCATGGAGCACGCAATACCTGTGCTTTACTTGAAGCACGTTAAGTGGCAGTATACCTGAGGTGCTGAGTACTGGGGTTGTGAATAATTAAGTTTGTAGAGCGCCCGTTTTATTATGGAGCTGGAAATCCGTTCAACTCATGAATCCCGAAAATTTATTCCGGTCGCGCATTTATCAAAGTAGTTTATTACCTTATCTTGTGGCGAAAGTTCATCTATACTAATTGATTGATATGTGGGGTTTAACGTCCCAAAACCACCATATGATTATGAGAGACGCCGTAGTGGAGGGCTCCGGAAATTTAGACCACCTGGGGTTCTTTAACGTGCACCCAAATCTGAGCACACGGGCCTACAACATTTCCGCCTCCATCGGAAGTGCAGCCGCCGCAGCCGGGATTCGAACCCGCACCCTGTGGGTCAGCAGCCGAGTACCTTAGCCACTAGACCACCACGGCGGGGCCATCTATAGTAGCGCTGTACAATACAGTTACGCATACTCTAATATGTAGTTCTGTGAATCTGCCTTGCAAACGTGAACCTGGTTCACCACAACTGTTTTCAACAAGTGTAGTTACACAAAGGTAAATTGTTAAACGAATGTAGCCTGATCATAAATGAGTCGACACAAGTGAGGTCATTTAAAAGCTTGCTTGAACATGGCTGCAGCTTAGTGACTTGAGTGTTTTATTCTCAATATCGAGATGCGGGTGACACGGGTTCCAATCCTGAAAATGATGAATGCATTTCAATGTGTGCGAAGCGCTGAAAATCAAGTTCTGCCTTTTTTTTATTAATAAACTTTTGGTGGTAATATTAAACACAAAAGATGGAGGCGGAAATGTTGTAGGCCCGTGTGCTCAGATTGGGGTGCACGTTAAAGAACCCCAGGTGGTAGAAATTTTTGGAGCCCTGCACTACGGCGTCTCTCATAATCATACGGTGGTTTTGGGACGTTAAACCCCACATACTATCAATCACTATTAAACACACGAGAGTTTTCAAACCATAATTTGCAGATGATTTATCGTTTCACTCAACCTTCTATTAAAGCACTCGTTCCCAATCGGTGGAGTTAGTACTAACCCTGAGAAATACTTCCGACACCGGCTTGTGTTTCCACCACGCTGCACGGTTCATGGCGGGAACCTATCCGTTCGCGATTTCCCTCTGCCGCGTTCACACCAGGTCATAAAACATGTCTCGCCGTGCGTCTCACTCGTCAGCGAGCTTTTTAGCATCCGCAATGACTCCCTCGAGAGGAGACGACACTTGAAATGCGCTCCGGCGAACGCAAGTTTTTCTCCTGATCGCAGGCGGCGCAGGTTTCGACAAGCATCCGTCGACGCGGAACCTCGAGGTGGCGCTCGAGCTGGTGACGTTTTGGACCCTTATTCTTTCTCTTATTTCTCAATTCAGGGCACCCAAGGGAACAGTCGCCTTGTGATGTTCCGTTCTCTTTTGTTTGTTTGTCTTTTCTTCTTCTATTCCGTGTACGCTTCCCTGCTTGCATGCGTGCCTTCGTGTGCAAACATAAGCATGCTACTGCGTGCCTTGCGGGAATACCTTAGTGCCTCCCGGCAGCCTAACAGCGTAAAAAACACGATGTGTTTACTCTAACGACTTTAAGCTGAATGTTAGAGATCTTTTTTTATTATTATTATTCCTTTACCGGCGCACGAAGTTGAAAACGACGCGTGCGCGACGCACATTGACAAGCAGCACAACGTTCGCATGGAAGTCGCATTGCGAAAAAGAAAGATGTTTATCTGGCTGCGACTTATTTTCACAAGCATTGATGAAACAAAGCAAAATAAATAACGAAAAAGCAATATATTCTATGTAAAATCTTAGCTATATTACTAGAACTCAGAACACTGGTAAACTTTGTAGTCATCGTTTGTCGCTTATTGTTCCCGCCAGGAAGTCACATAGTACATTACACTACAACTAAAAAACATAAGCTGGTAAACTGCGCTTCACTTGCGGACACATTGGTGCTTATGACTGCTATAGGCTACAATGGCGTTAGGAATTCAAGGCTTATATGTTGAAGGCAGGCCCGTAGCCAGGATTCATGTCCGGGAAGGGGGGATTTCAAAACACATATTTATTATTTGTCCGCGGTGAAACTACCCCTTTATCCGGATTATGGGGGAAAGGGGGGGAGCTCTTGGACACCAATCACTATGCCC